TTCTGCCTTTCACGCAGGAGGCCCGGGTTCGATTCCCGGCGTCGGAACTCTTTTTTTGTTTTAATCGACGAAATATAAGATATTACGTAGAAGTATTTTCATGCTAGTCATCTTATCGGCAAGAAATTATAAATCAAAAGTATTTTGGTTTTGCTTGAATAGTGCTTGTCTTGAATGAAATAAAAAAGCAAATTTAAGATTTTTTTTTTCTCGTCTTTATCAATTATAATGATAAGCTGATTATATTGATCATAAAAATGATCTGAACAAAATGTGTGACAAATCACAAAAAGCATCGGTAAATAAATCTTTATTAAACAATACGCTGTAATATATATGAGCAAGTCCATCATGTTAACAGCATGAATAGAAATCAAGAACCATAAGCCACACATGAAAAAAACTACAGAGGAATGATCTCCATCTTATTTTACAGCTATCCAATCATTACTAAATCTCACTTACTTACAATAATAAAATCCATAGTTGGAAAATGTTGTTCAAAGTAAACTATGCTCTTTCTTGGAAATAACTCATCATCATTCTTATTACGCATGCTGCATTAAATAATGAAAAACCCAAAAGAAACACCTTTTCCTTACGATGGTAAACGGCCGCGTTACTTCAGCCATGTCGTGTATCCAAAATGCCATGAAACTGTCGATACACATTTCAAAACATCCAGTACTTTTTCACACTATCTGTTGTGACGTTATTCAATTCTTTTCGGATTTTCATTTCATTTTGTGTCTCATTTTGTAAAAAACCTATTCGTTATTGTTCCAATTGTAATTATTTATTAGGTGAAGTACATGAATTCTAACAGAAATTAACTCATAAAATCTTATCACATTGGATGTTTTATTTAAAAAAAAACCAAAATTCAACATATACTCTGGAATGAGTCTAGTTTATGTATAAAATATATATATATATGCATATAACAATACAATAAATAGATGAAGTTTTCTTTTTGATTAATCATCAAAATCATCAACATTAATTCGCATGGTATTTTGTGGTGATTTTCGACGTCCACTAGATCCATTGGTTTGACTTCGATTATTTTCAGTTCGATTACGTTCACGATTTAAACGTGTTTGTTTTTTTTCATGTTCAATTTCTTGTCTTTTAATTTGATCATATGGTGTTTCAAAATCTTTTACTGTTAAATGTTCACCTTCAAGAACACCAATTACAGATAAATCAGTTAATTTATAAGGTTCGAGTCTAAGATTTGATTTCGATGCTTTCGATGATACATTTGATGTTTTATTTTTTTTACTTTGTGATTGATTTGTATTTGATGATGCTGAAGGATCAATAATTATCCATTGTGCACGATCAGGAAAATAACGTGCTAATGTTATTTTTAATGCTTGTTTAGAAACATTTTTATAACGTAGATTATGTGTTATAAATGATGATAAACGTGTTAAGACTTGGTGTTCCAGATATTCATAT